TCCACTTCGCAGCATTTCTGTGCATGTGTCTGTGATGTTGGACCCCTAAAATTGATTGGAAAGAGATTTTTTTTTTTATTCTATGAGAACTAAAAGTTTCTGCATCACTTAAGGAAAAGTTTCTTAAACAAACTTACAACCATAATGACTCCCTGAAAACACCAAGAATATAACTCAGGGTAATTTATTACATCATAATTAAATAATAATTTCTAATGTTTACTTAAGGATACTTAACACTAGCTCTGTATTCATTTAGTATTGCCATTAACTCGCGGGGAAGGTTTGTGGCTTTTTTTGAATGGATGAAGTTTAACCACTAAAGTTTCCAAATTGCATCACATCTGTGCGTGAGACCGCTCCTGAAAAATCAGGACAACTTTATACAATAACTCTTATCCTCAGTAACTTTACTATTTAGTAAGAAATGTCTGAAAATCGGGCTTTACAAGACATAATCTATGCCAAGATGAACTTGGAAGCTGAAGCAACGCGGAACTTGAACATCATCAAGGGTATATACTTCTACACTAAATTAAGCTAAACATAAAATCAAAATACAGCAAGATTTAAAATTCAGGCAAAGCTAACAGTGGCATGTACAACCAAGACTGTCTAGCATACTTCATCTTAACACGCTCTGAAGACATCAGAATTTTGCTAGGCTTAAAATGTTTGTGATGAAGCTTCCAATGCCTCATTTTTGCTTCAAGGCAGATCATTCTGTCATATGAAAAGAAGGCAGGCATTTTCATAAAAGTGAATGAAAAAGAAGCAACTTTAACAAAGGATAACATTTTCCCCAAAATATTTATATGAAAAAGTCCTGGTCTTTCTATGCCTTATAAAGAGAAATTTACCTCCCAAGGAAGTCTGCCTTGAATTCAGTGGTGTATTTTGCTATTGTGAAAATCCCTGTTCCTACAGGACAGTGCTCCTGTCCATGTGCTATATGCATCCAGCCATGCAATCCTACTGATAATTACACGTGCTGGCTGCGCCGGGTGTATGCCCATGACTCAAGGAGTTCCCTAACCTGAGGCAGTCAACGGACATCTTGGAAACGCGGCAAAAGCCAGGGCTTCCCTTTCATCTACACGTGTTCTGAACGACTTATGCCTGCAATAGCTGTACTTACTTTCTTGTCTTGATCTAACCACAGTAGCCCAAAGAAAAAAGCATTCAACTAAGAGCCAAAAAGCAGTCATGGGTTCTGCTCTCAGCTCTTCATCTTACCATTCATCCTTCGTACGTCACAGCACTGAATATTGAGCAATAGCTCAGACGTTGTTCTAAGGACAACACAGGCTGTTTACAGGGATGATAAGAGAAATTGCACAACCACCACACTGGGACACAATTCAGGTCTCTAAAGCCGCTTCAGTATCAGTATTAACTAACCACTCTTGTTTCCATTTAGGATCAAATGAGCCAAAAACGAATGTCATCTACAGCCACTAGACCATACTTCTTAAGACAGAAGAAGCACCAGAAGCTGGCATACTAATTTCACAGTTTTATTTGAAACCAAACACTGAAACCCCTTAAAAGCACACTCAGTAATATTAATTAAGCATAAATTAGGGCTGCACTTAATGCTTCCTGACCACAACTACAGAAAAGCAGGATATTTCTTTCCATTCTATTTCACCGCTCTTGTGTATTAAAAAGAGTAACCAATACCTTATGCTGCTTTTAAAATTTGCTGGAATAGCGCTTACTAATCATTTACATTTTAAAGGGCTGGATGCTTTTTAAAGGTTTTTGGTTTGTTTTTACAGAAATCTTCAGCTTTCTGCATAGAAAAAAATTGTATTTTTTGTAGGGAAGCCAAAAAATTTCAGCTTAAGGCTTCAAAACTGTTTCAGCAGTTTCAGCTTTCTACAAAAGGGTGTATTTTTTTCATAGAGAGGGTTTTATGAAAACATTTTGTCTCTTTTTATTGAAAAATTTCATTTTCACTGTAGAAAAAGACAACCTTTTCCCAACAGTCCTAGCAACCTCTGTTACTGTGCCAGCATTGTGTCATAAAATACTACACTTTATACATATTCTAAATGTATATAGTTCAGGCTACCTGAATCATCAATATTTGCCTCATTCATGATTCAAGTTCAACATTACAATATGACAGGTAGTATTATCAGTATCACATTACTACCCTTTGCTATTGTTTTCCTCTTCATTTTCCTCCTTTTCTAATACAAACCGCTAGATGATAAAAAAAACAAACATCCTAGAGATACTTTTTTCCCTTGGACACCTCCTGTCAAAATACTGAACTGTGTTAATGTCACTTGTCAGATACCTTTTGACAAGATCACAACCCATTGCTGGTGTGGCCACAGGTCAGTGAATTTTGTTGCTACTGTTTTATTTGCTGAAGTCCAAGGGAAGAAGATAACAGGATCAGAAGTCACATCTGGCTGTCCTACATAACACTGCCAGCACAGAACAATGCCCTGCCACCCCCTTGCCTATGTAACACTGTTAAGGTCACTGTTAAGCACACATGCACTGCTATATCCACCATGCAATTCAAAGGAGGACTGACAACTTTAAGAATGGTTTCATGAAGGATGTAGCTACACCTTGAACCTCCACATGGGTTTACAGCAGGAA